TGAAGAGGTATCATTAAGGCTACCGACACCGAGACTGAAGAATCAGATGATGACATGGAGGAAGATCAAACACTGCCACTCTTTGTACTTTTCGTGCTTTATATTGGATTAGGTGAGGGTTCCACTTCACTTCCAGTGGTACTGCTATTTCCTCGGGGTTGTCCTTCCAGGTGGCCTCATGCTGGCTACATACGAGCCAGATATGGACTTTTTCAAGGCTGTTTATTTCAATTTCGTGACGTTGACGTCGATTGGACTAGGCGACATTGTACCGCGAAGGTGAGAGAATTTGATTTTTCGTATAGGGTGAGTGCATAGTTATTCCGATTTCCGATATTTGTGTGCCCAGCTCAATTAGCTTAACATCTATGGATGATCTTAGTGTTCATATTCAGCGAGACGTATATGGCATTGACAATCATTTACATCGCAATAGGCCTCGCTCTGACCACCATAGCTATAGAAATTGCTGCCGACACACTCAAGAAGCTTCACTATTACGGCCGAAAAATTGAAAACGTCGGCAATGTGGCGATTTGGTTCGGAGGAAAGAAGTGAGTTGGTTTCCTGTCACTTTAAAAAGTAGCTCTTCTCGGCGCTTGCTCATGCAAGGCATGTGAATCTTTATCGAGAAGATCCAAATATTGCAGGATTACTATGAAAGCACTGGTAAAGAACCTCGGTGATCAGTTCAACTTGCCGACAACTGTTGTTAAAAGCCTCGATCTTGATCATTTCGTCGATCAAGCTATTAAAGTGGAAGAGGGCCAAATTGAAACATTGCGGGTGAGCTCTTAACTGTCCCCGTTCAGCTTTCTACAATTTGTTTGGACTGTCGTAGAACAAAGTAAAGTGAAATATTTAAATAGGGCAGGAGCTGAAGCCAAATGGATGAGGCGAAGCACGGGAAAGTAGCGCGCTTGTGCTAACAGCCCCAAGGCAAGGGGGCACGACAAACTGAAAATTCAGGCAACTTACCATACTAGCAGGCAGTGTGGTACATGTTCCTTATGACATGCCGGTTCTTCGAGACCCGGATATTCCATAATCTACAGGGGGGGGTCGTATTGTTGATACAGCAAGCGGTAGGGCAACCCTCTGAAGCTCGCATACATTAGACGGAAAACTAGTTCCGCACCTTGTTCCACTATTGTAAGTTTTACTACGTATGAGCGCCTTCTGAGGGGAAAGAAAGGGGCTTCCTGTGGTGCCACGCATGGCATCAGGGGGAGCCTTTTACCTCCCATTCTACCTATGACTTTGAAACCAGCAGTGGTGACTGAAAAATGGATCTGAGATCATCGTATCAAAGTGATTACGACGGTGTATGAATCATTTGGAATGACCATGAC